TTGGAATAATTTATATTATAAATATAATTTTAACAATGCTTACACTTAAAATTGTCTATTTAGCTAAATGACTACAGGAAATTAAAAGAAGATATGTATGAAATAAGGGAAGTAGGTAAAATTTTACTGTACATGTTAAAAAAGTACAAAAATGCAAAGCTGATGGTATCAATATTGAGTATGCTAAACTGTGAAATTCATAATACACTTCTGAAAATGAGAATGGTGTGTATCAGGAAAATTACAATAAAATTCATTTTGTATGACAATGAAGTAAACCATCTGCCAATGTATTGTTAAAGAAAAAAAAATAATTTCAATAGTATTTTTTTTTTCAAGCTCACATATGTTCTTTTCGAGTATTAATTATTAAAATTAAAGTGAAAGTAATTTACATTGCCGGAGATTTAATCGAGTAATATAAAAACGATTTAAAATGATGGTGCAATATTGCCATAAAAATTTACAAATAATTTAGAAGTACGAATACAGTATAATAAAATTTTTTAAATAAAATCTGTAGTGGAAGAATATACTATCTATATGTGAGAAGTAAAAGATATTTGTTTTTTATTAATGTTTAATACTTCATTTAGAGGTATAAATTCTCATTCTTCTTAATATTCATTTCACATACATCATACCTATTATGGTCTTTGTTTTTACAAAACAATTATGTTTTTAAATTAATACGTTGACCAGTATTTAATTTAAAATAATACTTTGCTTAAAATATTGTTAAAATCATTTCACTTTATAAGAGAAGATTTAACACACACAGCATTTTGTTTCTGAGAAACTTATGCATCACTTTATTTTTACATAATTAGCATGATGTATGTTAATGTAATTCAACATTTGATTAAATGTAATATAAGGAATCTTTAAAAGTATGTAATGAATTTTCATATATTAGTGGAACATCATTAAATTATTCTTTATATTAAACAGATCAAATACTATGAAAGATATAACAATTTCTCTACATTTTGTGCAGTTGAAGAATGTATTTTAAAGCGATTGCAAAAATGAATATAGGGAATAAATAGTTTAAGAGAGTCTACATCTATCTCTATTTCCAGAAGGTACAGTTTCGAGTGTTCTTCGCCTAGCGGTATCTTCTTCTTGCATAGAAGCTTGAAGAGCCCAGGCAAGAGCTTCATCCTCACTTATACTACCCTGATAATTTTTGATCATTTCACCACTTCTTCTATTTACCTTTACATTATTTTGTAAAGCATCAAGTCTTTTTCTTCGAGTAGTCTCTTCTTGGCCTATACATGTGTGATCTGTTGGATGCCTATGTTTTAAACAGAAATTCTTTCCACAATCAGAACAACGAACTTGAACAATTTCTTTAATCTTGCAACCTTTAGATGAGCATCTGAAATATAAAGAATTATTAATACATTTAATTATAACTTTAACAAAATTATAGATCTAAGATTCTGAATACCAAATTTGCAAAGAAAATCTATAAAACATTAATATATACTGTGAATTTTTTTAGAATTTTTTATTTTTACAACAAATCAGAAATTGATGTAATAACTATAAAATCTGACTTAAAAATGTGACACATGACTTATATGTATTTGAAATAGTTCAAAAACAACTTGAAGTTGTCATTTTCAAAACAAGATAAACTTTTATTTGCCAAAATTAAATCTTACCTGTTAGAAAAAATTTTCTGGTTAGCTTTTTTTAAATCTGATTGACATTCATTATCAATGTGCTGTCCAACTGCAATATCTGGAGGATCACCACGTTTTATAGGCACTGGAGCATTACAAAGAGGACACACAGGAACTTGAATGTCTTTCTTATAAGCACTTGGACAATTATGTGTGCTATATGATATGTGTTCATTACAAAATATTGCTGAACATGCATCACACTTAAGCGGTAAAAAGTCCAATCGATTGCAACTATTCTCAGAACAGTGCTCGCCTAAGTTTGGAAATTCCATCTTTGATAAGAAGAATCTAAAATAAAAATTGCAACAAATCTTGTATTATTGTTTTTAAAATTTAAAAATTTTTTAACAATTACATTTTTACAGTATGCATTATATAAGTAATTTTATGAATTTAAAGAAATGATTTAATGCATTTACAGAATCAAACATTGAGAAACATACATGTAACAGTGATGATAATAAAATGTTTGTTACTAAGTAACTGATAAAATAACATTGAGATTTAAAAAATGATAGAAGGGTTAAATTTTTTAAATAAATGTGGAATACATATATAAAAGCTAACAAGCTAAACAATGACAAGATGTTTAAAAATACACTGTCATAATACTATCAGTTTATGAAATTATTAAGGATATGTTTAGAAAGTGGAATATATATTTATTCTAAATATTTAAGTACATTATTAAGCTGAGTTATTAAAATATAAAATATTTGAAAATATGTATTTTCAATGTATTGCTTA